GCATTAGTCATCAACTTCTGCACTCTTTAATGAGTCCATCACTGGAGTAGCTAGGGCTAATAAGTCAAAGGGCTAGCAGGCAACGAATGATACATCATCCCCATAAAATATGCTGTAGGAGGTTTTCTCATGAATTTACGACTGCCGCATATTTACTGAATGCTACTGCCAAGGCTGTCATGTGGCTTACTAGTTTTGATGCAGAGGCCCATCGACTCTAAAGGGAGCCTATCAAAGTCCTGTCCGAAGAAGTGACAAAAAAAAAAAAAATAATCAAGGCCTCCTTTGTTTTTCCCCCTGTGTATTCCCCCCACCTGCCTACTGTACTCTTACACTATCCAGACCTCTGCAAGCAAGAAGCGAAGCATCCATGCATATCAATGTCCTTCTCCAACACATAGATCTTTACATTTTAACTCTTGTGTAGTGTCAGGTGTAAAGCCGTGATAGTCAGACTACAGAAAAGACAAAAAAGTTATGGATTTCTTACGAATTAGAAACACAACAAGAATATTTCCCTTTCATTCATTCCAAATTTTAGACCACTGAGGTCTGAATCTCAATATTTTAATACTGCCAGTGACACTAATTAAAACCTTTTCCTATTTACATTGTATCCTCTCTCACCACCTAAACCACAAAAGCAGTTTCCTTGGAACTGTTTGTAATTCTTTTTTGATAGAAAGATGTTTCTGCTTACTATTTCTGACTTCCCCCAAAGCAATTAAAACTCACATCATCCTGCTTTACACAAAGCTTTTACAATCACATTTATCTGCTATAAAACCTCTTTCCCACCTCACGTTATGCAACACTAAAAAATTTGAGACAGATACAATCTTTACTTATCTGCTTCCTTTGCTAAGTTACCAAAACTATTCCGATCTAGAATATTGTATTTTTATGAAGCTATATGTCTTTCAATAACTCGTATTTTCCCAGACATGTTGACAGTAGGTAAAGCACCAAAAAACCACGTAACATTTCACAATGATAAAATAAAAAAAATTCTGTTTTAATCAAGAGAAATTTAGATAGCAACAAATAAATTAAACTTACTTTCTAAATATAAAACAGCAGTTAGAAGAATGGTCTAAATATCAAGAACAAATCTCTACAACCAGCCACTACTAAATAAGCCAAAAAGTATGGTTTAAGTTAGATTATGCTCTCAATGATAATGATCTTTACTCTAAAAGTTAGCCCTCTTAAAAGGGGATTTTAAAAGGTACTGGTGGAAAAAAGTTGGCCTAACCACATAATGTCATATTTTCACATAGAAGCAAGGCCATCTGATCATTCTGGGTGTGTCTGTTTAGTATCCATTTCCTCCAACTCCATACCCAATGCACCTTGTATCTCTTGGCCAACCATTCAGGAAAGCAGGGATCACAAAAATAGGGTGGTGTTTGTTTTTTTTTTTTTACTTTTTACAAGTTTTCATTAACAAATGGATGGCTGTGAAGACGCAGGCAACCCTAAACCCCCTGTGTTTGACCCAACTGACAAGAGGAGCAGCTGGAAATAAGCTGCCCAGGAACACTTTGTCGAGCTGCCAGACCCAGCAAGAATGCAAAGGGGACACAGGCAGGAGCAAGCGATAATGCTGGGTGAAGGAATATAAGGAGCCATGGGTGCATTTGAGGGATGGCAAGAAAGAGAAAAAAAGCAGAGGGGTGTGGGGTGTGCACAAGGCACGGGAACATACAGAGAGAAGCCAGAGGGACTGCTGCTGGCGTGGAGGGATAAGTAGAAATCCTTCTAAACCCAGATGTTATTAGTTCTACCATTCACAGAAAAATCTGGTTAGTTTTTCTTTTTTGGGGGGTGGGGATGACTAGGAGAAAGACTGAAGGCTTTGTGGGTTTTGGGTTTGGGTTTTTTTTTCCCCACTTAAAAGGAAGATCTCAGGGGTTTTGTTTTGTCTGCAGAATTAGAAATGGTCTTTTCTTCTTTAGCATTAGAAAATCAGTTATTGGAAAAGATGAATAAAATAATTAAAAACCAAAATACAGAATTACAGCTGTAAAATATCATCCTGAGAAAGGTGAATTTACTGAATAACTGAAAGTATTTAACAAAAAAGAATCACTTTATATAGCACCAGAAGTTCATTTTTCTTAAAAGAGGCAGAGGCTAAGAGGTCATAACAGAGGAAAAAAAAACAAAACATAAAACCCCATTGCAGAATAGCTTAACTTCTGCAATTCTTCCCTTTTTTTTTTTTCCTCTCTTGATGATGTAATTGCAAAGAATAAAAAACAAAACAAAAATGCCTGGATACAGATGTTGATTATTTTCTAAATCTTCAGAACTTTCTCACATGCCTAGGGAAAAACAGGTGCTGTTAGAAGTGGTGCACGCTTCTGAGTGCTTAAGGGAAGTCATATGTGCTTTCCTCTCTAAAGATGATTCCCCTTTCTCCCCCTCAAATGGTAACAATTAGCATACTGACATTAAATGTTCCTGATACATCTCAGTATAATTTTTTAAAAAATAAAAACAACAACTTTAAAATATTAGACTAATTGTTTTGTTTTTAATGAATATGTAATAACAAATTAGTACACCTAAAAATCAAAATTACTTGTCTGCGCAAGTCTTTAATACAGGTTTTACCAATTCCAGATAATTTACTCAGGAATGAGGTTAACTGCCGGGGCCCAGGTGACTTTTCACTTCTATGTCATGAGACACAGCTGTTAGATGCAGGTCTCTGCAGACCGGCAAGGCTGGTCAGACCCTCACACCAAGAAAGATCGGCACCTTTGCAGCCTCATGTCTAGAATGAATCACTTCCAGGTTAGCCAAAGGCAGACCAGGGAATAAGCACTATTAAAATAAAAACAAAATACCAAACCCAAGTATATTTACAATCTTGTCCAACAGACCACCAACAGGAGGAAAAACTGCAAAAAAAGTCTGTAGAAAAAGATGACTGAAAATGCAGTAGTGCCATCAGGAAACACCAGTATAGCTCTGGAGCCAGAAAGACTGGAGACACTAGATAAGACAGCAAGGTTTCTGCTCTGTGGAAAAAACATAAAAACAGCCTTGGATGGTGGTGGTGTTGATTTTTGACTGGTGGACACTTTTCAAGAAATTATCATTTCAAAAGTGATCACTACATCCTGCATCATTTTCCAGGCAGCGCCACAGAAAGCAGTACCATTTAATGCAGCACCCAACATGCATTCTCGTGCTAGAAGGGCATCAGCAGGACTGCAGTAGCGCGGTGTCATACTATAGCAGTCCTTTCCCTCTCATACAAACAGAAGACTCAAGAATAAAATGAGCCACCAATTTATCCTGTTGGACAAAGCCACTGAAGTGCATTCTAGGTGTCATCATATCAGTCAGTAGTAATTTTGGTGTGGTACTTTCTTCTCTCTGGCATTATTGTTTGGAGGGTGGGGTTACTTTGGGTTTGCTTGTTTCTGTTATTCCTACAGCAACCGTATTTCATATTCGTGTGAGGAATCCACATTTGGACTGCAACTTTTCAGGTGACAAGCTGCTACATTGACCCCACGTGTGACTGCTTTCAGTTGAGATGACTCTTCTTAAAGTTCTGTTACACATCTGGTCTCACAATCTCTCCCTAAGATGGGAGATAGACAATATTATAAATAAGTTTTAAGAGAGAAAGAGATTTTAGGGTACTCCAGTTAACCAGCACCAATTAAAAAAAAAGTCTGAAGTTATTATTGTACATGACAATTCCTATGCCTTCTTCTTTACTTACTTGAAAACTTGTATGACAGTCATCCTTTTTTAAATAAAATATCACCAAGAAATATTTTTCTCTTTTTCACTACTATTAAGTTTTCTTTCTTGTGAAATAAACAGCAAATGAAGGACTACTTCAAATAGATATCCGTATCTCCATGTTTAGAATTAACAAAGCTACTTCCGATATTTAATATCCAAAGACATGAATTTAAAACTACATCCAACTCCTGTTACCTTCTATAAACAAACACCATTACAAACACACTGCATAAAGTTTTGGTCTTTTAACAGGCAGAATTTAGAAAGAAAATTATATAACCTTTCAAACCAGAATTACAAGAAACTGTGGAGTTCAAAATAAAGACCACAGTAAGACACTGAATGTTTAATGCGTGCTGCCTATGTTCATACTCACAAGTCCACACAAAACACCTATCTTGGCAATATGATTGATTTCTTTATACCAGATTAACATGCGTGGTGAAAGAAGGGACAAGTCCCTAAGAAGTCAGAACAAAGAACACAGGAAAGGATATTTCACGCCTAGATAAATCAGCTGAAGCATCACAAAAAATTTGCAAAGGATAACCTCAAAAAATCATATCTCTATATGATACCTTGGGCACAAGCTAACTGTTATTCATTTGTGTGTGTAAACACTACTTGCCAAAGCTATCTCATTTAATGAAGAGGCTCATCACACAAATTAGGCATAAATGCGTATATAAAGTACCAGATATACCCTTAATTAAGAAGTAGCTGTGACTGGATCAAGAATTACATCATCCCTATAAAACTCCTAGAGGAAAACAGTTGTTTTAGCATAGTTGTCTATAAAGACTGTTTTCCACTGATTTCCTAACCCCGAAGATCAATGAAACTGAAATACTAGTATACAATACATTTTTTCTTATTATTTTCCACATTTCTGAGTATCACAGCAACAGAGCAGAGAAGACCTATTGAAAAGGGACAATTTTGCAACACAGCCTTACACAATTAAGAATAGGATGCACAGATTTCTTTCTGGGATTGGTTCCAAGAAAAGACTTAGTGTGAGTTACAGGATACACCAAAGAGGAGCACACATTCAACTTCAGTGTTGGAAAGGGGAGGATGGGGAAGCACAATAGTTTCTGATAGCACTAGTTTGCTTAAAATTTTGTGAGTGCTAACGTGACAAGTCTCTGCAATAGAGCTGATGATGTTGCTTAAGCAACATCTAAGAAAAGCACAATGATATATAGATCAAACAAAAAACTTCTTACCTATGACTTCCATCCAGATTTGATTTGTGGATGAAATTCAGTTTAGCATCTGCCCAGTAAAGTTTCTGTTCCTCATAATCCAACGTCAGTCCGTTTGGCCAATATATGTCCGTGTTGACTATAATGGAACGGCTTGAACCATCCATCCCAGCACGTTCTATCTTTGGCACTTCTCCCCAGTCCGTCCAATACATGAACCTATAAGGGAAAAGACAGAAAAAGAAAGCAATCATATATAAATCTACAACTGGAATACTGGCTACAACTTTCAGTAAAGGCAAAGGCACTCCCTATCCTGCAGAGACAGTGTCTGTGGAGCTTTGTTCTACTGGTTAAGGTACGCTTCCTGTGAAACACAACAGAACAAAGTTACTTCACAAAAATCTGAAGAGAAACAGATTAAGACAAACCCACAGTACTATGTCATACTATACTTCCATATGTTTCTTTCTCTCCTTGGTTCAAGTGAGAAAATTGGGGATATCTAATGGATCTGGGCAACAATCTAAGAATTCAACATTAAATAGTAAAGATAGATACTACAGACTATTGCAAAATAAAAGTACAACAGCCTGTTTAACACGGGTCAGAGGGGGGAAATGGAAAAATAAGGTGGATGGATTTAGGGTGAACGTAGCAGCTGCATGCAAGGAAGTGAAGGGGATTTGATGGAAGACCAGTTCATGTCTTTTCTTCCAGAGAAATTCAGACAGGCAGCTAAGTCAACATGTTTAAAAGCACAGTTTGCACCCAGTGACCTTGCAAAACACTCTGCAAAATTTTTTTAAGACTGGTGAAACAAGGAAGTTTTAAAACATGTTCATACACACTGCCAGATACTTAAACATTATTTAGCAAGTAGTGGAAGGAGGGAAGTTACCTAGTTGCATTTCAGATGGAAGTGAAGCAAGGGAAACCACTTTATTATGGCTGTAGACTAGTGGGGGGTAAGAGTATTTGTCCTTTTTCTGCAGGTGGTAGAAAATGGATTTACTTTTGCGGGTTGTTAACAGAATGTGTAACTAAACAGTAGTAACACATAATATAAACAGGTCAGACAAAATGTGTCCATGGGGCTTGCTCTGTTTTGTTGTTGCAGCTGGGACAGACAAGAAGACTACTGTCCTAAATTGCTTCCCATAACCTCATGACATGTCCCAGCATACCTGCCTGTATCTGTGCTCCCTAACCCGGCTCAGTCAAAACAATCCAGATTAGGAAAGATCTGAAGCCTTTAAACTAACCCAGATCATCACACAACCACAATATGTCACTATATGGTGCCCACATGTGAAGAGGCCTGGCCACCCATCCTTTAAAGAAAAACAAATGTGCAACACATTTAAGAAACATTTGCAGATTAAGTTATTCTTGGCAAAGAATTTTTTTTTTTTTTTAAGTCAGGAAATTCCATGTCATATTTTCTCCCTTAATTCATGTCTACAGCATGTTTGTTTTCATGCATAGCTATATCTGCAGACAGAAATGCAGCTGATTAATACAAATATTGCCCTATTCGATCCCAGGTGAGTCATGCCTTATGGAGCAATGTGCCCGTCTTAAACACAGAGCACAAATATCTGAAGAGAATATGTGAGATTTCTGTAGGCATGGACAAGTACTACAGAGAAACTGGGTTTCCATTGGGGGGAAAAAAAAAAAAAACCAAATCATTTTCAGATAGGTAGCACAGTAACAAGTCACTTGGTCAAGCCATGCAATAAGAGAACCATATACTTGAAAAAATGAAAAGTTTTAAACAGTCAGGCAGCATTTCACCAGCGAGCACGTGTTGAGAAGGGAGAGAGGAAAAATAGAGACTTATTTAAACTTCTTTAAAAACACCCTTCTTTGTCCCAGCTGTCAAGTCCTAGCCTTCCAAATACTTCATGAAGGTTAATAGGTTCCAAAGCTCTGGCCACCCCGCAAGACTGATTTTTCAGGTTTAAACAGCTCATTAGTCACTGTACAGCCTCATCTTCTTCCTTGTCTCCCTCTCACCTCTCATGCATGCTGCAATTATTCAAGCAAAAACAGTTAAGGGAAATTTGGTACCAAAGAAAAGCCTTCCCGGACTTCACAAAACCAGTCCTGTTTAATTTGTCAGAGGAGCACACATGCACACAGAGCTGGCTTTAAGATTCAGTAACATTTCCAATCAGCTCCAGTGACCTCTACTTGGTTTCTCCGATATTTTTTTTCCACTATCACTTGTTTGTTTTCTTCCACCTGGCTTGAAAGCCTACAGGTTTTAATGTCTCCATTGAAACGTCTCTTTGGAACCAGTCATGCTCCAGCTGATGGCACCAAGGGCTGTGCTTCGCTTGGGAAGCAGGGCTTCTCATTGCTGCAAACGCAATGCAGGTTATAGCTTGATGACCATTTCTTTCCGTAACAGTTGCTTTTAAGCAACTTCTTGCAGATCATCTTTGTTTCTAGTACAGGGCTCATGTGGGCATGGAGGAAACTGGGAAGAACTGTGTGAAAAAACAGGAGGAAATGCCCCTGTTGTGATCATGCTTTCAGTTAACTGCAACTGCTACGAGGCAACGCAGACCTGGCTACCAACCAAGTGAGGGTGGGGAGGGACAGACAGATGCATGGACATGACTATAAATTCCCATCACTGCAGAGGTGTCTCTACAGATTTTCTACAGAGATCTCAGATCCCTCTTCCAGGTAATACCAAACTGCTCACATACGTGTGCTGGTTCCTCCCTTCTGGAAGGCTTACAGATTCTTGTTTCATTATATAATAGTTGGTAAGTAATCTATACAGAGAACGTACAGAAAGGAAGATGTTACAACATACATACTTATTGAACAGGGGTAAGCCAGCCAGACAGACAAGGTAAGGGTCATTCTCCCTCCCCTCCACCTTCTTCAAAAACATTTAATTATTTCCATTTTAAAAAAACCACCCACCACCAAAGGTCACAGGATAGAGCAACGTATTCACTGAAAATTGATGTCTTGTGCTAAATTATGGCATTCAGATAACACCAGAAGACTACTGCTCCATTTGCCTCTCTTCTCACCCAGTTATACCTTGCTATAAAATTTAAATCCAGGAATCAAAATTTTAATTCCAGCCCAGAAGAGGAGAAATAAAAATTAAAATCTATACTACCCTTTTGAGTTTTAAGGAAAAAAACCCATACGTATGTAGCATGTTTACTGTACAGTGGCACAGGCACAGAATTGGGCTTCATGCTGGGCAATCCCAAATCCATAAGATCCAGAGGGCAATCTACAGACATGCTGTAAATTACTTCAGCAAGCCTGCTTGGGTCCAAATGCTTTCTCATGCTTCTTAATGTTGGCTGATGGTACTGTTATTCCACGCAGTTACAACCAGGACAGGCTGGTACTAGAGCTCTGGACCTTTCCAGCTCCTTGTTACTGCCTCCTTGCTGAAGGTCACCCCCTCACCAGGGTCAGCAATGGGGACATGAGCCCAGACCTGACTGCTGTACTTTACAGACCAGCTACGCCACCCAAACCCATCTTTGCAAGGAGTTTAAAACTAGTATGGAGAAGCTGCAGTGCAGCGACACAATTACATGTAAAAACCACAAACCCGAATAAACGTACCCTATGCCTAGGGATTTTTAAACATACACAACATACTTTCACTCCTCACAGGAATATCAGACTTAGCAGGAAGATCTTTCATTTAGTATCAAATCAACCCATATGGAGCCAAATCTCTCTTCAACCTAATAAGAAATAATACCACAGTTGATTAAAACTGATCCTGTTAATCTAGTCTTCTTTTTCCCTATTTAAATAATTAACCACTGTATTTAAAAAAAAACCAAACAAAACACAAACAAAAAACAGAACAAAACAAAACCCCTTTGGTTTTAATCAAACAACCTCAGTATTTTGAACTGCTTCATTATTTTTCACCTGTTGTATGTTCTCCATGCCACTAAATGCCACGCTTCTCAGACTTTACTAGCAGACTTTGAAAATGGTTGCAAGCCATTATAAAAACCTAACAGAAAAGCAGCTAAGTATATTTCTATTTATCTTTGCTTCTAATTTTACTATCTGGGACTCATGTCAGGAAATTATACAGGCCCATCTCCTTTAAGGAATTAAGGCACATTTGACACACACTTACAGAAGAGAGGAAGGTTCTTAGACTGCAGTACTTAGCTGGTATTTTGTTTGACTGTGCCCAGAATGTTGGTTTATCTTATAAGTTTATACTATCTATAAAAATCATGAACAAATAGAGGAGCAGTTTTATGTTTTTTTCCTAGAAACTTTTTTCTATGCATCTTTAGATCCAGCATTTTTTTAATTTTTGTGTCTCAGGTAAGCAAGGTGAACCCAGGCAATAAAACTTCCTCTTAAAAGGCATCAGGAATCACTACGCTCTGTACAGCTGTAACTTCACGGTTTTTACTTGCCCCAAATTAAAAGGTTTTGTCACAGGAAAAAAAAAAAAAAAAAAGAAAAAAGAAAAAAAGGAAAAAAGGAAGAATCAGCATTTCTTCATTCCATTCTGTGTGATGAACAAATACAATAAATAACAGAGCTCCTTTTCTAAAAAGCTCATAAAGCCTAGGCATGCTGATGGCAGAATATCCCACAATCACAGAGAAAAGCTTGCAGACTACAAATGCCAAGATTAAATGCTGTAATTTAGCAGTGATTTCCAACAGTATGCACAGAGGGAGAGAAATTCATCACCAGCACCCATCAGCTTTGCAACTTTCTGATCCACACCACTCCCCAACACTGATGCAGATCCTTTCAGCCCTACTATCCCGCACGAAACTAGGCTCCTGCTAGGAGTGTCATTAAAACACCAGCCCCCATCGAGATGTATGCAACTGTTTCACTCATTGAACAGAGATACCCCACACGACACTTAGCTGATTTTAAGGCAGTTAATTGGGACACCTTACAGGGCAGGCAAACGTTTACCTTATTCAGTGGGAAGAGCAGCTGCTTAATTGGGACAGCCAATTATTTGGTGAGGCCCTTCACAGTAAATGCTCCAACTTCGCAATTATGCTCGTTTCAGCCCCTAAGAACCTCTGAGCTCTACAGGGACCCAAGAGCCGCCAAACTTCAGAGCTTGCAAAGGTTTCAGAAGTGGAGCAACCCCTGTGGAGCTCATCAGCTCTGCAGTGATCCTTGTGAAACGCAGCCCTCTCCAGCTCCAGAACTATCAGGACTGG